GTACTGTATTTTTTAAAATAAATGAATATGTAAAGAATTGTTTCTCTTTTGTTTGGGGGGTGGGTGACACGCCAGCAGAGTCAAGTTAGGCATTTTCTGAATTTTTGACATGCCAGGCCCTAAATGTTCACCATCACTGAACTAGCCCCTGCCTGCGGCACCCCTCCATGGCTGCTGCAGCCCCCATGCTCCTTACCCACGACTCCTGCCTCTTCCTGCTTAACAACCTTTGCATCCTGGGGTTACGACAGCAACTGTGACTGCTGGGATTTCTATAGTGTGATGCACTTTATGACCACATCGCTTAGTGACTGCAATCCCAGTCCCAATTGCTGGCATAATCCAAGGATTACCTGTATTGTAATTTCTGTTATTATATATACACATAAATTGAGTAACCTGTACATTGTATAAGGAATTTGAGATATCACATATTTATGTTCTATTGCTTTGTTTTGTTTATCAGTTACAAAGGTCCATTGTTAGAAGATGGAGCTCTGACCCTGGCATCTTCTGGTGGAGCCAATTCCCCTGAATATACCAAGCTCTGTGCTTGGTTGGTTTCAGAGTTAAGACTGTTTTGCAAATTAGAGGAAAATGTACAAGCAACTAACAGTGAGTAATCAGGATTGCAGCATCATTTATACAGTTATGTCATTCTTGCTAATCTTGACATTTATCATGCATCTCCTTCCAGTATTGATGTAACGGTTTTTCATATCTTTATGATAAAATAACTATTTATTGAGCAACTGCAGCTGATAAAAATACCTATATTAAAGTATATATGCATATATTTATTAAGAATGACCAAGAAAAGGTTAGTTTACTATTGAATAATTTATTTTCTCTCATTGTTCTCAATGTATTCTCATTTTTAATTTTATTGGAAAACTTTATTATTTGTGTTTTCAAGAAAAGTAATGCAATTTAAACTTCATTAATTAACTACAGGTAGTCCTTGACTTACAACCATTCGTTTAGTGACCGTTCAAAGTTACAGTGGTGCTGGAAAAGGTGACTTATGACCAGTCCTCACACTTATGACCATCACAGCATCTGTGTGGCCCCACGATCCAAATTTGGGTGCTTGGCAACCGGCATGTATTTATGACAGTTGCAGCATACTGGGGTCACGTGATCTCCATTTGCGACCTTCCCAGCCAGCTTCTGACAAGCAAAATCAATGGGGAATCGTGATTCACTTAACAACCACGTGATTCGCTTAACAACCATAATGATTTGCTTAACAACCACTGCAAAAAATGTCATAAAATTGGGTGTGGTCACGTGATGCCTTGCTTAACAATCACACCACTCAGCGATGAATTTTCTGGTCCCTATTGTGGTCTTAAGTCGAGGACTATCTGTATTTGTTTCTCCAAAATGTTTTATCTTACATAATTTTAAACTGTTTGGACATTTAATAATTGAGCCTTTGTAACTGAAAAAATCTATGTCTTAAGGTCCAAGCGAAGCAGATGAGTTCCAACTTGAAATTAGTGGGTTACTAGGTGAAATGAACTGTCCCTATACAACACTAACATCAGGAGACGTCACCAAGCGCCTTCTCAATCAAAAAAACTGCCTCCTGCTCCTCAGTAAGTTAAAGGAAACTTCAGAAAACAACAAAAAAATAAAAGAATTATGTAGTTAGCAGTAGTACTGTACAAGTGGTGGTGCCATTAAGCCACTTTTGATTTTTAGAATTACAGGAAGGGATTCATGGTAATTGGACAGAGACTGAAATCGGATATGGTGAAGCACCGGTTTCAAGTCCTGTTGGTTATGCACCCATGGAATGGTAAATTGAAATTTTTGAATTTTAGTTTAATTAGGAATGGGCAATGTACTGCTTGTGCTATTTGTTAATTGAGCTTGATTGTTTTGGTCCGTACACACAGGACATTTTCATCAATGTTTTGTTGTTCATATTATGTGTGAACTTAGATTTATACTTCATTAGAAAAGAAATAATTTAACACTAAGATCATGGACTAAGCTATCCTGAATTGTTAGCTTCTATTATTCATAGGATGAATCAAGCAGGAATATTTGAGTAGCACTCTGCTGTGTCCCAAGTAAATCAGAATTCTAAAGTAGAATTTCTATCTAATCATTGTACCGAATGTAACCATAGTATTGGTTGTTTAATCAAAATCAAAATAAGCACATTTTTCCTTGCTTGTTAGGAATAAAATTTGCTGGCAAGATGATCTGCTTTGACAGTTAAAAGAAATTCACAGGTGATGCTATGAAACAAAAGGCTTCTCTGTAAAGCTGTTGATCTTTATTTATCTTAATGGTGGTTTAGATTATAAACTGTTCTTGAATGCAAATTTTTATGGGTTGGTTTATGAAAGCTGCATGAACAATCAATTTCTATTCTAGCTATCTGATGTGCACCTTGTTTAATTTCCCTTCATGTTCTATGAATAATACCATGTTCTGACTCAATAATTATTTTTTCTCTGGTCCCTAGCAGAACTGTTATTGGCTATTGATTTGTCTTTAGGTCATCCTGTTTGAGCCTGTTTTCTTATTCAATTGTTTCTAACGTTGTAGTGTGTAAAATTATGTCCCTGTATATTCTTGGCTTAAAATAAATACTCCTTTTCTTAGACTTTTAAAAATGATCTTTGCTGTACTGAATGGTAACTTTTCATCTTTCAGCATACCTCATCTCAGAATTAGAAGCTGCTAGAATGCTGTATGTGAATGCTCCCCCCAAAAAAGCTCAGGAAGGTACTGGTAGTGAAGTATTTCAGGAATTAAAAGGCATATGTATTGCTTTAGGCATGTCAAAGCCTCCAGCCAACATAACAATGTTCCAGTTCTTCAGTGGAATAGAAAAAAAGGTAAGAACTAAAGGGTGAATGTACAGTAACTTTCTTGTACATAAGTAGTGATTACTGTGGCAAGTTATTCTGGAAAGATAATTAAAATAGGCAGAAGTAAGCCTTCTTGGGAATGGGAATAGCTATAACAACTATACCAACACTACCAAAAAGATCATCTTTCTCTAACTACTTTAGTTGGCTTATTTTAGCTGGCAAGGCTATCAAAAAAGAGCCTTTAGAGATTATCCCCCTGTATGCCCCATTTGGTTTCTAGAAGGTGGTGTTTTTATGAATAAACTGTTATTTCACCAACATAATTACCACTAACATAACAATTTGAGAAGGAAAACTTCTTAGTTTTAAGACATTCAATCATTTATTTCTTGGTGAGCTAATACAGGGGTCTCCCATATTTTTTTTCTCCAGAATTGCTTTAAATAATGAATGGTCCTGAATTGGGATTTTTCTGAGGATTTTAAGATATGTTATTGATGTATAAAAAGCAATTACATGCTTGGTCCCTCTATAACTTCCAAAACCCATAGGATAGCCTTACCTTTATAATGCCAACCATAATGGTACAAAAATTGAGTTCTCCAGAATCATCCAGTTTGGTATTAATCTATGTGAGAGAGTGCAATAGCTGCCATCTTAACATTAGTTTTATAATAGAAAATGAAAAGAGGTAGTAAACAATTATGTTAGGCTCTGTTAGATGCCATGCAGATTTCATATTGTACTTAGGATCCCTGGAATAAAGAAGCTATTCACCCATTTTTGAATACTGTAGGTAAAATCCAGCCATTATTTAGATCTGTCCTTTTAAAACTTTTTCTCATTTCTATACTTCTTTCTTAAATTTGAATATTTTGTTGCATGATGTGTTAGCATAATAAGAGTATTGCCATGCTATGGATTTTATATGATTCCTTTTTATTTTATTTTTATTTGAATATGTTTTAATTTATTTATGAAAACGTTGCAGTAGATACCTTTTCTTTTACCAAGACAATTCCTGTATTATACCATACAGTTGGTGTAAAAAAATATAACGTAACATGGAATTCTTAAAAATAGCAGTTCCATTTGTAAGTAGAATGAGAGGGGGCAGTTCCTCCTCTGCTCCTGTAGCCCATCATTCCTCTCAAAATATGTTCTGGACGATTGGGTGATAATCTGGAACAATTGTTGGAAGAGCAAATGGGGTTGAAAGGATGAGATACAAGTCCTGTCCTTGAGCAGATCTTGCCCTGTATTATGTTGATTATACATACATTGGAAACAGAAGTTTGCGTATCTGTAGGTTTTGGCTTTTTTGTCTATATGATATACTAATACAGTTTATTTTGTTACAGTTAAAAGAAACATTAGCAAAGGTTCCTTCAAATCATGTAGGAAAACCTTTATTGTCGAAACCATTGGGTCCAGTCCATTGGGTAAGGATTTGCCTATAAAACTCACTACTGGTACTAATTCTTTTCATTGGCACTTTTTTTTTAAGATTGTTTATCCCGCCTTTCTTATTTTTATATATAAGGCAGCAAACATACCTAATACTCCTTCCTTCTATTTTCCCCACAACAACAACCCTGTGAGGTGAGCTGGGCTGACAGAGTGTCTGGCCCAAGGTCACCCAGCCGACTTTCATGCCTAAGGCAGGACTAGAACTCTCAGTCTCCTGGTCTCTAGCCTGGTGCCTTAACCACAAGACCAAACTGGCTCCCTTTTAGTGTTTGCGACTTTTACAATTACAGCTTTTAATATTGTAATTGATCTATATTAAAACAACAGAAAGCATGTGTATGTTTTTTCGAAAATTGAAAATCCAGTCATGTGACTGTCAGTATTCCATAGCCACTAAGCTAGGGGGGTTGGGATACCAACTAGTGAGCATGTACTATATGTTATGGAATTGTCTGGATTTCCCCCCCAGTATGGCCATTGGGATTTTATTTAACTGTTCTGTTGTTTTAATCCTTGTTAGCTGCCCAGAATCATGTACACATGGATGGCTATAAAAGTTGAAATTATAAAATACATCAGAATTGATTTCCTGAAAATACTTATGGATATTCTTTATAAGAAGAATACTTTAAAAAATTAAACTTAAAATTATTCAAATTGTAATGCTTTGCAAACAAAAGGAAAAGTGACAAACATGCTTCACATTAACAGTGTTTCATTTGGAAATCTAGTTGGTTCAGGGAAATGAATCAAGTCATTCAAAATAGAAAAATAAAATTCTGTATCAGAATATAACTATTCTAATTTTGGCAGAGGTAAGATG